GGGGCCCTGCAGCTGGAAGCCGCTCAGTCCTCACCGCTGGAGCCGGGAGGGGGGTGGAGGAGACCGGGGTCAGGGGGGGATCGGTGGGTTTGGAGGCTGCGCCGCCGGTGTCTGGGGATGGGGGTGTGGAGGCTTACCTGATGCTGCTTCCTCCTCCTCCTGCTCTGCATGGAGCCTCGCCATTGGTGCCAGGGGGCGGGGGAGAAGGCTTGGTGGGCCCGGCAGGAGCCGCACGAACCTCTCTGTTGGTGCTGGGGCGGGGGAGAAGGCTTGGTGGACCCAGTAGGAGTCACCCGGGCCTCGCCATTGGTGCCGGGGGGGGAGGCTTACCTGCGGCTTCTTCCTCCTCCTCTGCGTGGAGCTCCCCCCCCCCCGCGAATATCGAGGGTCCCCTTTTTTGTGGTATATAATTTTCACTGGCCTTTTTTCACATGGTCCACCCCAGTTACTAAGATGTGACTCAGACCCTTCAATGTTTATTATTTTTTTTAAAGTATTTATCAGCTGCTTTATATCCATAAGATTCTCAAGATTTTGAGTGGGAATTAAAAGCAATCTGTCAATAAAAACAAAGCAGATTAAAAAAATCTTAAATTTAGCAACAAATAAAAACTTGGATATAAACTAAACATGGGTTTCATTTAGTAGCAATATAACAAGAAAATGGCTAAATGATCCCACCAATGGGATTTTTTTTTAACCTGGACCCTGAAATTTAGCAAAGATTAAAGGTATAGTAATAGTTAGGAAATAGCTAAGGTACCACCACAATTAAGTCCTGCGTTTTGAGACAATTCACCTCATTTCAGGAAATTGTGCCATACTCGGTAGGATCTCAGATTATTGTTTGAGCAGGTTTACATTTAAGAAAGGAGTCCTTAAGATGTTCAGTAGTGTAACACTCCACATTGCTACATGTCTTTTTTGTTTTGGTTTACCATTGTTATTAATTATGATAATATCTCTTTTCACCAGCAGGTTTAGAGGCTATTCCCAGCTATCCAGACAGCATGACAGACACCCCTCGGGATGCTGCCCTTAAGCAAGCCACACCAACACGGACAGAGAAACCAATAGCTGACTTTGGCTATGTTGGGATCGATGCCATCCTTGAGCAGATGCGGAGGAAAGCCATGAAGCAAGGGTTTGAGTTCAACATAATGGTAGTTGGTGAGTCCTTGGGAGTGCTGTTCAGTGGATTCTCCTTGTGTGATAGCTACTTGTGTTACCTTGGCAGGATTATTTCTTTCCATCCTTATGGTGGAAATAACTTACTGACACTTAGATCCGGAATGTGGTGTTCTATGATTTTAAAAACCTTTCCAACCTATTACTAAAGCTCCAAGTTTACCTGCAGGTTTTTTATAGGCTGGTTGTCAAAGTGTTTATTCACTTTTCATACTCTGGTTTTTTTTTACTGGGATTTCAGAGGTCAAGAACTTGTACTTTTAATAGGAAGCTGCTGCAGCTGGAGTAACTGTACAACTTAGCAGTGCATCTAATTGAATTTTTTTTTCCCACTAGAACTTATGGTTCTCCTGACCACTGCTTGTAGCTCTGAATTAAGAAACTGTGGGCAGGGCAAGTCCATTGACAGTAAATTTCACTGGACACAGTTTGAGATCCTATGTCCTGTCAGATGTCCAAGTATAATGCTGTCATTCGAATGAATGAATGAATTTTATTGTTACGGCGCTTAGCCAGCAATATGCTGTCATTCCTTTCTGGCTACAGTCCTACTCATAAGAGACTTCATTTTAGAGTGAAAAGACTCTCCATTCTAGAAAATAGCTCAGAGAAAAGGTCTTCCTTTTTTCCACATCATGGAACTTTTCTTGTAAGGTATAAACCATAAGCTAATGAGCTAGAAGATGAGAAAAGGACACGTTTATTAAAATGTTGTAATTAAAATGACACAAGGACAGCTGGTGTGAGTTCTAAGGCTGGCTTGACCGCTTGCCAAATAGGATGGTTCCATAGTTAGTATAAAACAAGGCTTTTTTGGAATCTTGAATGACAAACTGCTACTGCATTACTGAGCTTTATGGTATTGGGAAAAGAGGTACATGAGCCACAAGTTCAGAAGAAGAATTAGAAAATTAAAACTAACTGGCAGTCATACTCAGTTAAGATCATCATCATCATCTTGTTGTTATTATTTGTCCCTTAGCCTAATTATGTTGTATTTTCCCACTATTGGAGTCTACTAGTAATCAGGTCAGTGTGCAAATTGATTATTAATATTAGGGCTGTTTGTTTAACTGAGGGAGGCAGGAGTAGGGACAGTTGAATTAATGTATGAGAAATCAACTGGGCAGATTATGGGAAGGAGAGGGAGATACAGGAATTTTGATCTCCTTCCAACCTGCATCTCGTATCGAGAGATGCTGGCTGTGGGGATAAGAAGAGACAACCTTCTACGACACTGGTATTATGTAACACCAAGTCTATCAATAATAAGACCACCATTCTTCATAATTATCTGGGAGAGCATGCGGTAGACCTGGCATGTGTGACTGAGACAGGAGGGTGAAACTGTCGCCCTGAGTCAACTGCCCCCCTCCCCAGGTTTCTCAGTCTTTCACCAGTCCTGGACTAATGGGGGGGGGGGAGTGGTGCTGCTTATTTGAGAGGCTTTCTCCTTCAGGGCACTCCCTGAGACAAAGATAGCCGGCATTGAATGTGTGGGTCTGGTGCGGAAGGCCAAGGAGAGTTTGTCCATTTGGCTGGTGTACTGTCCACCCAGTGCACCAGCAAATGCCCTGCCGGGTCTACTGGAGGCCATATTGGGCTGGGCATTGGAGTATCCCAGACGTTTGGTCTTGGGAGACTTCAGTATCCATGCTGATGATTCTTTGTCCTCTCAGGCCATGGACCTAGTGTTGTCCATGGTGGCACTGGGACTCATCCAGTTTGTTTTGGCTCCCACACACCACAGGCCATATGCTGGATCTTATCTTTGCCTCAGTGGTTATAGTGGACTGGATTACTGCTGATGCAGTACCATGGTCAGACCACTTTGTCCTGAAGGTCCAAATAAGTGCTCCTAACTCCTGTTTGGGCGGCGAGTGGATTTCTGCTTGCCTGCAGAGCCAAATGGACCCCAGCAGGTTCCAGGAAACTCTGTGGGATCCAATTTCCCCTGGCAACTCATTAGATGAGCTAGTGGAAGACTGGCAAACACATCTTTCCAAAGCCATCGATGAGATTGCTCTCTGACGCCCTCTTCGCCCCCATTCCAAATTGGCTCCATGGTATTCCCTGGAGTTGAGTTGGATGAAACGGGAGCCAGGACGACTAGAGAGAAGATGGTGATGAGCCCGCAACAAAGCTCCAAGAACATCATATAGGTTGTTTATGAAAACCTATGAGATGGTGGTGAAGGCCACTAAGAAACATTTCTATGCAGCCTCCATTGTGTCTGCAAGCTCACGCCTGGCCCAATTATTTAGAATAATTTGGTCATTGACTACCTTGCCTCAGAACATTCAAAATACTAGGGAATTGATTATTTGCTTTGAGGCATTTGCGAGGCATTTTGCAGACAAAGTCTTGATGCTCAGCCACAACCTCCCAGCCACAGTTGATAGACACTTGATACCCCCTTGCCCAGATCGGCCAGAGGTATGGGCTGGGATGTCACCAGTATGCTGATGACACCCAGCTCTATCTGATGGGCATATCTTTCCCTCTTGTAAGCCGCCCTGAGCCCGTTCGCGGGGAGGGCGGGGTATAAATACAAAAATAAATAACTAAGTAACTAAATAAATGTTAGACGGCCAGTCAGACTCCAGACCAGAAGACCTGGATCGAGCTCTGCAGGCCGTGGCTGGGTGGCTCAGACTGAGTCAGCTGAAGCTGAATCCAGTGAAGACGGAGGTCTTGTGCCTGAGTCGGAGCGGTTCGGGGGTGGGGATCCCACTCCCAACCTTTGCGAGGGCTTCATTGGTCCCAGCACTGGAAGCGACTAGAAAACAAAAGCAGATCTATCGTTGAACTGTGAGTTAATGTTCAAGCGAGGAACACCGAAGAATTAGCCGGAAACCTCCCCTTTGAAAGCGGGGGGGGGGACTCTCCCCCGCTAAGAAAAACTAAGTGAACTTTGAGCCACTGTGTATAGGGGGGTGGGCTAACGAAGCAAGATGGACTGGAATAAAGAGCATTTAAGAACTTACTAGGCTGATTCAAGAGTATCAGAGACTGTGATCACTTTTATAAAAAAGTAAACAATTCCCAAACATGGTGCCCATGAGGAAGGATCACAAAGACAAGCAAGTGAAACCAAAGCTTCTTGCCCGAACTGCTAGCCCAGCAAGTCTTGTGCCTAGACAGGACACAACTACAGTGCTGCAAAAGATGCTGACTAAAGTTTTGCGCCCTCTGCTGGAACAAGTTACGGCATTGTACCATAAGTTCGATGCACAGCAAACTCAATTAACTGAGATAGCTAAAAAAAACTGAGCAAGATAAAACTGAGCAAGAGCTGAAAGAAGTGGATGCCAACACCAAGAAGCTTAAAAAACTACTGTAGGTGATGGAGAAAAAGACTAACGGGGGAGACTCATTTGTTACAGCTACAAATGGAAAGAGCAAGCTATGTTCTAAGATTTCAAGGTGTTCCGGAAGAGAAGGGAGAGAATCTGAAGCAGATTGTGTGCGAGGCTCTAGGCCCTATGGCAGATATAAAAACGGACATACTACAAAGCGATATTGATACAATCCATAGGTCGTATTCAGAATTTATAAGAAAGAATAATATGCCAGGGGAAGTTATGGTAAAATTCTCCAGAAGACAAGTGAGAGACCAAATCCTCAAAGCAACAAACGGAACTACCTTGAAAATCAAGGACAAAGAAATAAAAGTGTTGAAGGACATCCCATTTGAAATAAGAAGGAAAAGAAGAAAATATAGAGACTTGGTTTTATTTCTTCAAAAGAACAACATCCCCTATAGATGGATTGTACCCGAAGGCACAATCTTCAAATTTATGGACAAGAAAGAAAAAATTGACTCTGTTGAAAAGGCACATGAATTTTTACATCAACATAATCGTCCAGCAGGAGAAGAGGAGGAGGAGGGAAGAAGCCAGCAGCAAAGAAAGTGAAGAAGAGGGAGCAGTGGCATCTTCAGATGAAGATTCAGACTCTAAGCTGGGGGTGGTAGCCCCAAAGACAAGCTACCATTTGAGAAAGAAAAAGTATAAAAGATGAGATGTTATTGCACTCTGAAATCTCTTACAATGTTATGTTATAAGTACTTCTTTTATTGCTCTCTAAGAAGTCAGATACGGTGGTGTTTAAATTTTTACTTAAGTTTTAAAAAATTATTAGATGACCACATTCAATGAACTTGAATTGAACACTGAGTTAAAAGCTAACTTGTTAAGCATGACCAACTTGTTAAGTATGACCACCATCTCTTGGGGTTTTAGTGGGTTTTCTTTACTTTCTCCTATAGTTTGTAGATCCTGTTCCTAATTTCGTTGTATAGAAAATGCAATAAAAAATCCCCTATGGGGGGCAAAAAAATAAAAAAAAGGAATAAAGTATTCTCGTATGACTTAACTTTGTGGTAAGCCATATGAGACAAAATTAAAATTGTCAATTTTTGTTTTAGCTGAAGATAAGGTATGTCACGCTTATTCTGCATAATCAAATGGTATCAGAATACAATTTCAATGCGGTATGACAATTAGACCAGATGTAGTTTCTTATTAGTGAAACATGAGTTTTCTTATATTTGTACAATCCTGCTGTTTTTCAGGTCAGAGTGGCCTGGGGAAATCTACCCTAATCAACACCCTCTTCAAATCAAAAATCAGCCGCAAATCTGTGCAGCCAACTTCTGAAGAGCGTATCCCCAAGACAATTGAAATCAAGTCCATCACACATGGTAAACCCTTGGCAAGGGATCATGGAAATGTCTTGTTGGAGGAGTCCTGAGAGATGGGAGAGGGGGCTAAGTAAATCCTTTTCTTTACCTGGCTATCTAAGAAATAAGTTTACAGAAGCATTTTAAGGTCTCTGGGCTCCAAGGCCCTTTTCAGGTGAAAATGAGTGTGTGTGAAGGTGTTTTTTTCCCTCTCCACTGTCTATGGTGTCCTGTTCTTGAATTATTCATCTTCTGTTTCAGATATTGAGGAAAAAGGTGTCCATATGAAACTGACAGTCATTGACACCCCAGGTTTTGGAGACCACATCAACAATGAAAACTGGTGAGTGGCTGTGAAAGGGAGCTGAACAGAAAAAAATCAAGGGGATTCCCAGTGCTAGTAAAAACACTAAAACAAAACCATACTTTTCCAGATTTGGGAGGTCTTCAATTACCATAAATCATTTCTCTTGAGAAGTCATCATTCTAAATGAGTTTTCTGACTAAAACTATGATAGTATTTCCTCCTGAAAGTCATAGAAACTAGTGCTGCCTAGATGCATCGATGTGGTTACAGGAGATAGGTGGAAGTATTTATAGCAGAAAACAGTTGCATATCTGAGGAAGGGGGTCATCAGCTTGCTGGGACACAGACCCTAAGAAAATTAAAAGTCTGAAATACTGTAAGTTAAAGGTTGATTAGATATATGTGCATAATGAGGGTTTTGATAGCCATGGTCAGAAGGAGTTATTAAATCTGCATTCCCTGGATGTGTGTACTCAAAAGTTTAAGGGTGCAGTCACACGTGCGAGATAAACCAAAGGGGAAGCGAGGCTATTCCCTCTGGAGGAATTTGACCCGCAGTTGTGCTATCACACAGTCCTTTGAAGCTGCGGGCGCAGCCTGCCACTGCGTGATTAGACACAACCGTGGGTGAGTTGGGGTTGTTGTGGGTTTTTTTGCCATTTGTTTCCGATTCGCTTAAACAGGGAATCAATGAATCACATTTTAGCACTGATGCTCCCTATGGAGTGTGCGATGATGCGCATACTGAGAGGGGGGGGACAACGGCACGGCGTCAGGATGGCCTGTTCAGACCATCCCGACGCCATGAAAACGCGCTGGAGCAATCAGACGGGAAAGTTCGTCTGTGGCCCATGGCAACCTGTTTGCTACAGGACTTTCCCCAGTGTCTTTTTACTCCGCTTCTGCGGTGGAGCAAAACAGGTTGCCGACGGATGCGGGGCGCTTCCCCGATGTTCATGTCTGATTGCGCCCTTAAATCCATCCGGCATTCGCACCTATGGCACGGCTAATTGTGCGTGTGATCGCGCCCTAAGAAAACTTTTCATACAACCTAATTTTTTTGCCTCACAGAATATTTGGAATGCCTTATAATCAACCTGCCTTAGCATTAACACATGCTTATATGTCATAGTGTGCATGTATACAGTACTTTGACCTCTGAAGAAGGCCTTGGAGGCCGAAATGCACTTGGTCCAGGACTTCTGGCAGCGCTCAATGTAAACCTCTTGCTCCTCCACACCTCCCCCCCTTACCGATTCCCCACACAGATCCTACAACCTTTGACGACTGCAGATACGTGGGGAAGAAAGACCGAAACGACCTGCAACCAAATCTTTAAAAATTGAAGATGGACCAAACGCTCAGAGAACAGCTGACTCTATCTCCCACCTCAGGTCTAATTGCTGGAGAGACGCACGAAATGGCGGTGGGAAACATAAGCGCTGACAGAATAGCGAGCCCAGTCACAATGGAAGAGCTAACGTCGGCTTTGACTAATTTGGAAACAACATTCCTCGACAAGATCTCCTCTCTAATGAAACCCTTTTATGAGCATTTAGACATAATCCAGAGAAACCTGACAGAAACGAAGAATGTAGCAGAAAACGCATTAAAGAACAGTCTGGCAAATCAGTTGGACATACAACAAATGTTGATAATGGAAGATCTACTAGCCGAAAAAACCCTCAGACAAAATAACCTCAAATTGAGAGGGATAGATGAGAAGACTGAAGAAAAAGGGGAACTAATAACACATGTGTCCAACTGGCTACTTCAACAAGTAGGAGTAGAGAAAGATATCTCTCCGGTCATCACAAAAGCGTTCCGTTTAGGATCGCCTGCTATCTTGAAGACCAGACCCTCTCGAGATATCTTAATCACAGTAATGGATCTACATTACAATAAACGAATTTTAAACACAGCAAGATACAATGGCTGTCTTAAATACAAAGGATCTGCAATAGAGGTCTATCCTGACTTGCCAAAAGAAGCCCTACAAAAAAGGCACAAACTTAAGCCAATGACTAACAGCCTAGTGGAAGCTGGGATCAAATACATCTTGTCATCACCGTTGGTGTTACAAGCTAATCACAGAGGAAAATCCCACAGAACTATCTTGATATCAGCCCATTTTTTCCTAAAACTAACACAGTTTAGATTTAGATCATTTGTTATGAAGTTCTGGATTGATGTTTAAAGTTCTTATAACAAAATTGCATCTTGTAGCTATAAGGTTGTGAATTACAACCAAGACACAGACATTGGTTTACTGTTCGCTGTTGCTCTTAAAAAAGTTTTATGCCTCCTATAAATTGTTATAAAGTTTTGGGTTGTACACAAAATCAAATCAATTTTATAATCATTGAAGGGGTCGGGGGGGAGGGTGAGTGGAATACCGGGAGGTTTTAATGGAGTCCTACTAGTGACCAGACTCTTAGACATGTAAAATGGGATTACTAGTCTCTCAGTACGAAAAACCAGCTTCCTACACATTTAATCTCAGTGTAGGAGAGTATAGTCATAAGTAGTGTTATAAACTAATTAATTATACTTACCTGATTGATTTTACAATTGATTTTAATTAACACATTGATTATCCGTATAAAAATTAATTCGTATACTGATTGATTTTAAACTGTGAAATTGATTAATTTTTAGATTTTAATACAGGAAAGAGAAATATAGTGCTAGCCTGAGAAAGTTGGAAATCAATACATTTAAGGGCACTGCAATAACTGATCTGACAGAGACTTAATTAGGCTGTACTAGATTCATACGCACACCACATAAGAGCCGGATACCATATGTAGATTATAACAGACGCTCAACAGATATAGAACCTGATATCCTAAGAAACTGCCAGCAGTACTTTCTCTGTCATCAGGCGCCCTATAGTGACCATCATTAATATCACCACTGCTGGATTTTCATTATACACTATACTATAGGAAATCATAGAATGTTAGAGTTGGAAGGGACCTTGCAGGTCATCTAGTCCAACCCCCTGCACTCTGCAGGAGCATCCAGGAAATCCAGATCAGATTGCATACTACTCCAATTATTGAGTTATATACTTGGGCACTTAATAAGGAAACACCAGTGTCTCTGTGTCTTAGATTGGTCATTTTGTAATATCATGCATTCCAGCCACACATTCCAGCCACACTGGTATCATTTCACTCATCCCTCACGAGGGAGACTTTTACGAAGGACCTGTTAAGTTCCCTCTTATAGATCATATCTCAACTTCAGTAGTTGCCAAATTGCTATTGGACTAAAAAATCTACACTATCTTAACTATACATCATTCCATAAACTAAAAGACACAATAGATATGGGTATAAAAATATTTTCAGTCAATGTACGTGGCCTGAACAATAATATCAAATGGAAAAGAGTCCTTACAAACATATTAAAGCAAAAACCTGATGTGGTTCTATTACAGGAAACACACCTAAAAAAACAGAACTCATTGTATTCCGCTCTACTAAATTTCAATTACAGTATCTCGCTTCCAGCACCTCGAAATCGTATGGAGTGGCGATTCTACTAGCGAAAAATCTTTGTTTCACTTTTATCACCAAAAAGCAAGATAAGGATGGGAGGTATCTTTTTATTAAGGGGGAAATTGATGACCATTGCAACCATTGCAACAATATATGCGCCAAACAATGGACAATTGCATTTTCTAGAAGAGACACTTGGGAAACTGCAAGAGTTTGAGGAAGGGGATGTTATGGTAGGGGGGGATTTTAACTTTATAGTGGATAACACTCTGGATAGATCCTATCATAGCCTTACCAATAAACAGTCTTCAAGACGCTTCACAAAATTAGCAACACTGTTCAAAAACCATAACCTGGTAGATATTTGGTGTATTACACACCCGGGAGAAAGGGATTACACATATTTCTCTGCACAGCACAACATGCATACCAGAATTGATTTTATATTAACATCTCCATCCCTGCAGGACCACATACTGTCCACATCAATAGAACCAACACATTGGTCGGACCATGTGTGGCTGGAATGCATGATATTACAAGACCAATCTAAGACACAGAGACACTGGACCCTCAATACTTCTTTATTAGAAAATCCTGAGTTTAGACATGATATAGAGAAGGACATTAAACATTATTTCAAAGACAATGATACAGAGGAAGTTTCCCCTATTATTTACTGGGATGCTATGAAGCCAGCCCTACGAGGTACACTAATTTCCAAGGCTTCTCACCTAAAAAAGAAAAAATAGCAGTTAGAGAAAGATCTAACGGAAACA